TCCCACATGGCTGACCATGGTTCAAATCCCAGACCTGGCAGCTTGCTTTCTCACTTTCCCTCTCTTTTTATCTCTTGCTGGTGATTGCACGTGCCCTACAGCAAACTAAAAAATAATAATAAATAAATAAAAATTACATAAGTAATTCTAAAAATATTAATATGCCAACTTTCCACAGTAATGAGTATATATAAATATTGGGTTATTGAGAAAGTCATGATGCATTTTTGCACAGAAAAGCATAGGGAAGAAATGTGTCATGACTTTTCTAATAACCCAACATAACCCTTAGTAAACGGCCATATGCATTCTTCCTTCTTTGTGAACCCAAAGAGCACATAGTCAGTGTATTTATTACTTGGGGCATATGTAGGGGTACAAAGCAGGAAAGTAAGTATAATTGGAAATTTACATGAAAATGTCATTTTATTTAAATTAAATCTGTTTTGTTATCATTATATTTGCTAACCTTCAAGCTCCCTGTCTGAGTTTTACTACTTATGTGTAATTAACATAATTAAAAATCAAGTGGATAATGCCTTCAGATACCAAATTATATATTTCAGCAATACATTTAATCTCTAAAATACAGGCCTGTGGGACTCTTGGCTGGCCACAGGTGTAAGTATTGGCCCAAAGTTTATAAACTTTGTGACCACCTTGTAGAATTATAGTTAGTGCATTGCACAAAAGCTCTGGGGGGAGGGGGCATCCAGCCACGCTCTACTTTCAATTAGGCTGTGCCTGCCTAGAGGGCTTTTTCTAATTCTCCACCCACAGGCTGCACCTCCTAATCTGCACAAAGATGAGTACAGATTAAGGGAGATCTTGATTAGTTCCACTTTTTGGTCTGTACAATACTGCTTTTTTTTTTTTTTGGAGAGGATTTTGCTATGCAGTGCATGCGCCTGCCAGAGAGACCAGAAAGTGAGAAATCATCCCCCAGGGGAGATGGCCATGCCGCAATCCCTTTTCCTCCACTCTCCTCTTGGGATCTTGGGCATGCACGCACACATGCTCGGTGTGAGTTTAAGCCACCAGGTCCGGGACTTGAATCACAGTCATCTACATGGAAGTCCAGCGACATAGCCATTGCGCCATCTGCTTGGTCCCAGATACTGCATTTTTTTTTTAAGAATTGTTTTATTTAACTTTATTTATTTTATTTTAATTTGACCAGAGACAGGGGAAGAGTGGGAGAAAGTGAGAAAGCAAGCTGTCAGGTCTGGGACTTGAACTATGGTTAGCCATTTGGGAGTCCAGCACTCTTAACCACCACGCCATCTGCCGGCCCCAACTTTCTATAGGATTTTATTGCTTGTGTTTATAGCAGACATTAGGAATAGGAGAATGTATTGTTATAGTACATATGTAAACTGTTTTAGTACTTGACAAAGTGATTTTTGGTAGCACAGCTTAAAAATAAGATATTTTGTTCTCATTCTGATCCATATACTACATAGACTTAATCTAAGAGTTTGCTAACATGTGCCGTAGTGTAATATGTTGAAAAGAACTTGAATAGGGAGACCAACAGATGGTGTAATGGTTGCATCACTGGACTCCTACAGAGTTGACTGTGATTCAAGTCCCAGACCCAGTGGCTTAAACTCATGTCAGGTGTGTGTGTGTGTGTGTGTGTGTATGTATGTGTGTGCATGCCCAAAATCCTGAGAGGAAGAGTGGAAGAGAAGGGATTACAGCGAGGCCATCCCCCCTGGGAGATGATTTCTCGCTTTCTGTCTCTGTCTTTCTGGCAAGCACATGCACCCTATAACAAAACTCTCTCTCAAAAGAAAGAATGAAAGAAAGGGACCAGCAGATGGCATAATGGTTACATCACTGGACCCTCATGTCATTGACCATGATTTTAGACCCGGACCTGGTAACTTGAAACTTAGGCCAGATGCGTGTGCCTGCATGCCCAAGATCCCAAGAGGAAACTGGAAGAGAAGAGATTGCAGTGTGGCCATACCCCTGGGGGATGATTTCTCATTTTCTATCTCTCCAGCAAGTACACGTGCTCTATAGCTAAAATCTTTCGAAAGAAAGAAAGGAAGAGTAAATGAATGAACAAAGAAATGAACATGGATGGGACAGGCAGGTAGTATAGGTGGTCAAGCTGCTGGACTCCCACATGAGCGATCACAGTTCAAGTCTCAGACCTGGCAGCTTGCTTTCTCACTTTCCCTTTCTCTTTCTTTCTCTAGTCAAATTAAGTAATAATAATAACAAAATTAAATAAGTAAATTATTATTTTTTAAAAAGAAAGAAAGAATGTAGACTATGGGGCTAGATGGTGGCATAGTGGTGACTCAGCTGGACCCATATGGGTAAAATACTGGATAGACATATTGGGACTTCCTTGAGCGTGCTGGTCCTGTATGCATGTCTGTGGTGCAGGCCGGCTGAGACCAGGGGTGGATTGTCACATGAAGACTGCTGGGGATACACAGTTCTGTCTCTCTTTATAACTCTCTCTCTCTCATAAGAGAATGAACAAATAAACTTAAAAAAGAACATGGGCCATGGAGTCAAGAATACCTGGATTCAATCCCCAGCACAGCATTTCACTAGATATAAGCTGGGATAATTTTTTTTTTGAGAGGTTTTTGCTATAGGGCACATGTGCTCGCCAGAAAGACAGAGAAAGACAGAGAGACAGAAAGTGAGAAATCACCCCCCAGGGAGGATGGTCACGCTGCAATCCCTTCTCCTCCATCCTCGTCTCGGGATCTTGGGCACGTACACACACGTGCCCGGTTGGGCACGTACACACGCGTGCCCGGCGTGAGTTTAAGCCACCAGGTCCAGGACTTGAACCATGGTCGACTACATGGGAGTCTAGCAACATAGCCATCACGCCAACTGCTGGTCCGAAGCTGGGGTAAATTAAGATTCATATCTTATTTTTCTTATCTGTCAAAATACAGATGGAATTGGCCTACCTTATTGGTTTGTTATGAAGATTCAAGGAAATAATGTGTAAAACAGATGCTTAGGTGCTCATTTAAAGTTTACTTCCTTAGTAACCAGCGGGTGGGTGGCATGGTGATTAAGGCACTGGATTCCTAACTGGCTGACCATGGTTTAAGTCCTGGACCTGGTGACTCAAAAATCATGCCAGGCATGTGTGTGTACTTGCCCAAAATTCCAAGAGGAGAAGAGAAGGGATTGTGGCATGGCTGTCCCCCCAGAGTGTGATTTCCAGTTCCCCTCCCTCTGTCTCTTTGTGTGTGTGTCTCTCTCTCTGGTGAGCACAGGTGCCTTATGGCAAAACCTAAAAAACAAGCAAAAACAGTTCCTTACTTCTTCCTCTGCTACCTTCACACTTTAAGACCTACACTGTAAAAATCCATTAGTTACAATAGTGATTATTTTGGTTGACTTTGTCTTTAGACTCCAGAGAGTTGTCCCAGAGCCCTTTTTTGTTTTTATACTTATTAAAAATATTCTTAAGGTGTTTTTCTGTACTTTCATGTTTTACTAGGCTGATAAGAGTATCCTTTGGCACTTCAGAATATTGTTCTGAACCTTATTTGAACACTTACTGCTAAAGTTAAATACTTGTGCATTTGTTAATTGATTTCAGCACATCTGGAGTTATTATTTCTCAATAAAGCCATGCCATTAGCTTAAGTTTTTATTATGACTGGTCTGTTTGTCTTGGAGATTGAATGCAAGTGAAAAAAAAAAATTCTGGCTAGTGAGATTGCATGTCATTGAATAAGAGCATGTGATACCACATCTACCCAAGTAAAGAACAAACTCCACATTCTTAATTTGTGAACACTATTATTTGAATCATTCAAACAATTAAGAAAAAAGGAAACCTCAGATTAATTTGCATGAAGAAGCAAGTGCATTATTACGGCTTTTTAGGACTTTCTTTTGAAATCCCAAAGAACCCCTTAGGTATCATAAATGAAACATAATATATTATGGTTAGTTAATATGTAACTTAGTTATGATGAGATTATACCTTTTCTCTGACTTTGAGAAAAGCTCCTGAAAATTGAATTTGTCCTACTGTATTATTGTGCTTTGAAGAATGTGCAACCCATTCTTCTAAACCTTCTAAAATTGCATCTGAGAAATTTTTAACCTGATCTAATGTTACTTAGGATCAAATACCTTTTTAGAAGATGGCAATGGTCTTTGGACCAGCCGTTAGCATAATGGCTATGTCGTTGAACTCCCATGTAGTTGACCGCGGTTCGAGTCCCGGATCCGGTGGCTTAAACTCAGGCCAGGCGCGTGCCAAGATCCCGAGAGGACAGTGGAGGAGAAGGGATTGCGGCGTGGCCATCCCCCCGAGGGGTGATTTCTCACTTTCTGTCTCTTTCTGTCTCTCTGGCGAGTGCACGAGCCCTATAATAAAAACGTCTCCACCCCCCCCTCCACCCCAAAAAAAAGAAGATGGTAAAGGTCTTGGGTACATGGTATGTCAATAGTTTCAGCCCAGTTATGGAAGCATCCACTTGCTGATGCTTCTACTCGGAGGGCTGAGGCCACATGAGAGGCCTGGGTGCCATTTTCAGTCTACCTTAAAACTCTGGGCATGGTTGACATCATGTAATACCAGCTACTTATGAGGCAGACACAAGACAATAGTGAGATAGCATGACCCTATTTAAAAAATTTTAAAAGAAAACAAAACTGTTTCAAAGATTTGTATTTATGGAACCAGCAGTTAGCGTAATGGCTATGTCGCTGGACTGCCACATAGTCGACTGAGGTTCACGTCCCAGACCTGGTGGCTAAAAACTCACGCCAGGCGCGTGTACATGCATGCCCAAGATCCCGGAAGGAGAATGAAGGAGAAGGGATTGCGGCGTGGCCATCCCCCCTCGAGGGTGATTTCTCGCTTTCTGTCTCTATGTCTCTCTCTGTCTGTCTGGCGAGTGCACGCACCCTATAGCAAAAAAAAAAAAAAAAGATTTGTATTTATTTAGATGAAAAATACTAATTTGTTCTTTTTTATATCACTATCTATATAGGCATTAATTCATGGACTAAACAGACATTATTACTCCATTACTATTAACTATCGGAAAAATGAACTGGAACAGAAGGTGAGTTTAAATTTTTAACTTAGAGAAAGCAAAAAAAATCTTTCAATACATTTAAACTATGACGTGGTATATGATGTGTGTTTGCATTGTTGACTTCTTTTGATGTTTTCAAACATTCTTCCATTTCTGATGAATTGCAGTATAAAATAATGGATTGTTTTATTGGACATATTGAAAGACATACTTTATTTTATTGGTAGGTACTAAAGTGGGAGAGGAAATAGGAAACAATTCAGACATTTCAATTCAGTTTTATGGTAAATTATAAAAATATTTCTCCTGGTTCTGTACTTCTTTTCTGGTTAATGTATCTTCTGCAATAAAATGACCTTTGTAATTAAATTGCAAAACATATAGCCTTCCAAATTTAAGAGGAATAAATAAAGTTATCATTGTGTAGACCCTTTTTTTTTAAGAATTATTTATTTTATTTTCTTTATTATTATTTTTTAATTTGACCAGAGAGAGAAAAACAAAGTGAGAAATCAAGCTGCCAGGTCCAGGACTGGAACCACTTCTGCCATGTGGGAGTCCAGCACCTTAAGCACTACATCACCTGCCAGCCTCTTGCCCAAAATCTTAATGGGAAGGAGGAACAGAAGAAAAAGATTGCAGTGTGACCATATGCCATTGGAGGGAGGGTATTTTCTCTTTTTCTCACTCTCTCCGACAAGTACACACACCCTCTGGCAATAAGAAAAGTTTTAAAATATAGCAAGTTCAGGCAAGAAAAACTGTTTCAGATAGCTTTTTTTACATAGTGTTAAGGAAGGCATCTATTATTAAGAAAGAGAACATAAGTCATGCAAAGATCAGAATAGCTTCAAAGCAGGATAAGAAATGTAAAGACCATGAGGTTGGAGCAGTTCTTAGATTATATTAATATAAATTTAGGAGAAACTCTTCTTTTTTAAATAATTCTTTTATTTATTTACTTATTTATTTATTTGGTCAGAGAGGGACAGAGAGAAAGCAAGCTGCCAGATACAAGACTTGAACCTAAGTTAGGCATGTGGGATCCAGTGCCCTTAAACACCACACCATCTGCCAGCCCCAAATTTAGGAGAATTCTAATTGGAGTTTATTTGAATTGATAAAATTAAATGTTAATTCATTAATTCTAAGTTTTTTATGAAGCATTTTCTTTTTTTTTTTTTTTCTCCAGATTTTTGCCATAGGGCATATGTGCTCACCAGAGAGAAAGAAAAGAAGGGAAAGTGAGAAGTTACCCCCAGGGGAATGGCCGCATTACAGTTCATTTTCCCTCATTCTCCTCTTGGTATTTGGGGCACACACGCATGTGCACCTGGTGTATTTTTTAAGCTGCTGGGTCAGGGACTTGAATTGTGCAGTCAGCCATGTGGAATCCAGTGCCTTAATCACCTAATCACCCACCACCTACTGGCCCATGAAGCCTTTCTTTTCTTTTTTCTTTCTTTTTTTTTTTTTTTTGGAGAGATTTTTGGTGTAGGGTGTATGCACTCGCTGGAGAGACAAACACAGAGAAATTTCTGGGAGTGAGAAATCACCCTATCACCCTGGCGTGCTGATGGCCATGCTGCAACCTCCTTCCATTTTCCTCCTGAGATTTTAGGCACACATGCATGCACACGTACCTGGCATGAGTTTCAAGCCTCTGGGTCTAGAACTCGAACTGTTGTCTGCCATCTAGGAGTCCAGTGGCTTAACCATTAGGCCATCTCCTGGTCCCCATGAAGCCTTTCTTAAGACAAGGGTGCTGCAGCAGGTGGTTGGTGGTTAAAGTGTTGGACTCCCATATGGCTGACCACAGTTTGAGTTCCAGACCGGTAGATTGAAATTCATGCTGGGTGTGTGTGCATGTGGGCATACACACATCCCCAAAATCCCAGGAAAAGTGTGGAGAACGGATTGTGGCACAGCCATCCCTGCTAGCGGGGAGATTTCTCACTTTCCCCCTCTTTCTGTCCCTCTCTGGCAAGCTCATGCACCCTATGGCAAAAAAAAAAAAAAAAAGATAAGTGAAGGGAATATCTTCAAGGCAGGAAAATGATGAACTTTTTCTTTATATCTTTTAGATGTTGTTAAATTTGCATAAGAAGAGTTGGATGGAAGGTTTGACACTTCAGGACTACAGTGAACATTGCAAACACAATGAATCAGTGGTAAAAGAGATGTTGGAATTAGCCAAGAATTACAATAAGGTAAAAGTTGCTTTTAACATTTGTGTTTAAAATCATTGGCATGAGTTTGATTAAATGGTGAGCATATATAGATATAAATAATTAAAAATGACCTGTTTTGGGACCAGCAGGAGGCATGGTGGTTAAGGTGCTGGACACTCCCACATGGCTGACCACGGTTCAAGTCCTGGACCTGGTGGGCTTGCTTTCTCACTTCCCTTCTCTTTCTCTCTGTGTCTCTCTCTGGTCAAATCAAAATAAAATGAATAAATGAATAAAAGTAGATAAAAAAAAAAGTTAAAAAAAATTAGGCCTGTTTTGTCGATCAGATAGTAAATACAAGCCTTCCAGTCTCACAACTACTCACCTCTGCTCTTAATATCATATGGGAAAAGCAGCCATAAACAATATGAAAACAAAGGAATATGTCTGTAGTCTTTTTAAACAGGAAGCTGACCAGATTTGGCCCTCATGCTGTGACTTGATCACCCCTATTGAACCATGTAATTGCACATTTAAAGTGTAACTACACATTTTTTTTTTTTTTTGGAGTTTTTTTTCGCTATAGGGCGCGTGCGCTCGCCAGACAGACAGAGAGAGACATAGAGACAGAAAGCGAGAAATCACCCCCCAGGGGGGATGGTCAC